TATGATGAAAAACGTTTATATTCATCTATGTCATTAAATACAAATGTTATGGATACATGGATTGTATCTTATACTCAAACATTATTGGATTTTGTTAAACAAGAAATGAATGGTAAAACTTTATTTTTTTCTTTGTATATATAAATAAGTTTTTATTTAAATTTTAGCTTATCGTTTATATACGGTTGTACCTCGTCTTGTTAAATACATCGATATGTTGACGAATTGGTATGTCAAATTAAACAAAAGACGTTTTAAGGTAAACATTACTTCTATTGTTTTGTGCCTTTACAGCCATGCAGTTAATTTAAATATATAATTAATTATTGCTTTTCTTGAAGGCGAAATAAATTTTCATCTCGTTTAATTTTGTAACTAAAAAAAGATGAGACAAATTTTTTCTCCATTTAGGGTGAAACATCAATGGAAGATTGTCTTACTTCATTAAATGTCCTTTGTTATATTCTTTTAACAATGGCTAAATTAATGGGACCATTTACACCATTTCTTGCTGAATATATGTATCAAATTTTAAGAAAACTAATGCCACAATCATCAACTACTTCTGAACAAGATCTTAGTGTTCATTTTCAAATGATGCCACAATCACAGTTAGTATTTTTTTCTCTATTGAATTTTTTCTGTAAAATTAAAATGAATGTTTTATTTTAGAGAAACATTAGTGAATAAAACTATTGAACGTTCTGTTGCTGCTGTTCAAACAGTTATTGGTTTGGGTAGAACTGTACGAGAACGAAAAGTTGTTCCAATGAAAGTATGTTTAGATGATTTCATAGTTTTATTTATAAAGAATTTTATTTTTCTAGTATCCATTACCTGAATTTGTCATTATTCATAAAGATGCATCTGTATTAAAAGATCTTGAATCATTAGAAGATTTTGTTCGAGAAGTATGTTATTATTTATGAAGAATATATATCTACTATTATTATATTTTAGGGTTTGAATGTACGAAAAGTAACATTATCACACGATCGTGAACTTTATGGTGTTGAAATGCGTACTGAACCGAATTTTCCAACATTAGGAAAGAAATGTGGAGGTAAAATTTTTATTTATTAATTTATATTTCTTTAATTATAATTACAAAAACTATTTAGCTAAAGTTAAATCTGTAACTGAAAAAATTCGTGCAATGACTGATACAGATATTGAAAAATTATTATCGAAAGGTGAAGGTGTAAGTCCATTAACAGTTATTGATGATGTACCAATTGAATCAGAAGATGTTCATATTGTTTATCGTGTTGCCAAACAAACACAATACGAAGCAACTGCTGAACAAGGAGTAAGACGAATTTTTTTTTGGAGAATTTTTGTAGTTTATGTTTTATATTGATAGTTTGTTGTTTTACTCGATTATACAGCTGATGCATCGTTAAACGATGAAGGTCTCATTCGTGAAATTACAAGTCGAATTCAAAAACTTCGCAAAGAAGTTTGTTTTATATTTGAATTGTCTTTTTGAATTATATTCATTTATTTTTACGTAGGCTAAAGTAAAGCCAACTGATGATATAACTATTTATTATTCAGTAGAACCACAAACAAGTGAAATCGCTCGTGTTGCATCAGCACAACGAGGAGAAATTGAAGTCATCCTTCAAAAACCATTTCGACCATTAGCAGAGAAAGACCAAAGTCCTGTTGTTATTGAAAAGAAACTCCCGGTAAGTTTTTTTGTTTGATTATAAATAAAGAAAAATCAATTTTTCTTTCTTTCTAATTAGGTGAAAGATGGTGAAATCGAATTTGTTATCACTCGAAAGTCATAATCAAAATTACACGAGAACAGAATTTTATCTTTTATCTTTTCAAACTATTGACAGATCTATTATTATTTGTTGTTTTGTTTTTGTTTTGTGAACTTTCAACACTAATAAAGATCTTTAACAAAATAAAAGACACAAGAATTATTAGCTTGTAACTTATTATTGAAATGTTTCGTCGAGTGTTTGAGTATAGAGAAGGAGAGACAAAAGAGATACGCAAATGAGAAGAAAACGAAACGACAATACATGGCACTATAACACACATCTTTATTTAAACTGTTTTTTCATCGTATACCTTGGCATGAAAATACGAGTGCTATTAAATGTGCAAATTCCAATTCATGTTGATAAAATAGACTCTCGAAAGAACAACGTAGCAGTTCAATATGTTGATTTTATTCTAATAGAATCGTTATTGATGAAAAATATTCTACAAGTAAGATAAATGTTTGAAACATGTAACGTCCAATATACTACTAACGTTATTTTTCGATCCAATATCCAGTCGATATGAAAAACTTTGTGATGTACTTCGAAGTTCAGTGAAACTCAAGTACTATTTAGTTGCTTTTAATTATATCATACATCTAATATTTTATCATGATTTGTAACATACGGGTTAATAAGTAGTAAAGGAATTAATTTATTTGAAACATGCTGATTTAGTCTATAACGGAAATATTATACATTCGCGAAATGTTCTTTTCCGCTGACAGTTTCATTAATTTTCATTTGTATTTTGAGTACTTTCATGTCTCATTCAAATCATTATAAAAATTTTTACTTCGTAACTTCTTTCTCTCGAAAAAGTTGCATGTTTATCATGGATATCATTGTATCAAATAAATAAAATTGAAAGTATATTTGACGTTTGTATTGTTAACTGCTGTGGCAGAAATTTGAGAAAGTACAATATTTTATAGATTTTTATAATTAGTTTTTGGATTAGAATTATCAAATAAGAACGGCACGTATTACATCGCTGATGAATAACGAACTCAGATCACATGCTGAGATTATCTCTCATTGAGAACATACTGATGGCACTCACATGTTTTGCTTTGAGGACAAGTCAAATTCCAATGTCTCAGTAATACTTATAAATATAGACATAGAATATGTCATCCATTTAATCAATATATATTTTTATCTACATTTTTATAATTAAATTTTTACTGATGACGTCCTTTGTTACTTATTTTCCTACCCAGTTGGTTTTATCCAGGTTTTCTTTTCAAATCTCTTGTCACTAAAAGCATTATTACTTTCCTATTTAAATATCTTACAGAATGATGATTCAGTTATAGATTCTCTATTACCGGTTGAAGCAACATCATAGTGTATATACTATTATCTCGTTATCAAAAATGAACGACACAAGTATGGAAGCAGTTGAAGTCAAACAAGATATTATTCGTCATGTTAAATTTGGTATATTACTTATATTGGAAATTCCATCAGTTTTACTTACGCTCATGATCCTAATATTTTTTATTGCTCATCGAGCTGTTCTTCGTGTTCGACAAAATCAAGGTTTATTCCTGTTAATCATTGTTAACTTTATTCAAGTTACATTCGATTTACCAATGGTTATTGATTTTAATCGTATTGGTCGTGTTAATCCAGCAACACCAGCATATTGTTCATGGTGGACATTTATTGAATATACACTTAATGGAGCTGGCGAGATGTTAATGGCAACAATATCTATTCAACGGCATATTATTGTTTTTCAAGCACATGTATTTAATAATCGTTGGTATCGATATTTATTTCATCATATTCCACTTTTATTTTGTATTGTCTATCCAGTAACTCTTTATTTGATCATCATTATATTTGCTCCATGTGATGGTACTCAATGGGATTATACTTCAAATGTATGTGGTCTTAAAAATTGTTATATGGTATATAATCCACCCTTAGCTACATTTGATTGGGGAGTTAATAATGGCTTACCAATTGTTGTTATTACTATAGCCAATGTAGCACTTCTCATTCGAGTTATTAGACAAAAACTTCGTCGACAAGGAACTGTTTCATGGAAAAAGCAAAGACGTATGACAGTACAATTACTTAGTATATCTCTTCTTTATTTTATCGCATGGCTTCCTGGCATTGTTGTTGCAGTTATTCAACAACTATTCATACCGGGATTCTTAGCCGAAATTCAAGTAGAATATATTTTCTATCTGACATATATGATATGTCTTTTTGTACCATGGGTATGTCTTGGTCTATTTCCGGAGTTTATTAAATGGGTTTGGAGCGATGTATTACATCGTACAACACCGAGTAATGTCATTAAACCAAGAAAATAACTTATCTTAATAATTGTACAGTACTAATTGTAAAATACTTGCGTTATACGAGCGTTTTTCCCTTTCTGCTTTTGTATGCTGTATATAGAATGACCCGCTTGCATTTTCTTTAATATTTAAACTAGAGTGATGATGTATCCTTTCTTTCTTCTATTGCATTTAATGCCGAAGCTGCTTCTATTGTCACATATTGTAAATAACTGCTTTTTCGTGTTAATATTGTAAATAAAAAAAGAGATTTGATGTTTTGTTAAACGTGAACATCAATCTATAACAAAGATTTTCAGTGATGAAATGATAAAAGTACATAACCTATCGGCATAATATGCCATATCAAAAGAAGGTTATGAAATACAACGAGATCATATGATTCAGAAAGATTAAAGTTTTAAAAATATAAGATTACATGTGACATCAAGTTAAATATGTCTTTCTAATCAAGATAATAGAATCTTCTGTCTTTTTCTGTGATCTTGACAAAATTATGATAAATCCATTCAACGACAGCCGATCTCATATGAATCTGAGGGAAATAAGAGCATAAAATTCAATCGTTTTATTTCAAATCTTTATTACTAGCAAAACAGTGTTATATACTCATTTATTTGTTCATTGTTCACTTCATATTAAGATAACATGATCTAAAATAAAATAATGTATTAGTTGGTGAATAATTATTAATAAAATCAGTATATTACTTCTGTAAAATAAATCTAAGGAAATTCAATGTTTTACAATATTTTTTATCGAATTTCGTAATAATAGATGACCATGTATATTTAAAATTGTTAAATAAAGACACAAGATCACATGTTTTTCTTTGGGGCAAGTCAGATTCCAATGTGTTAGTTATATTTATAAATCAAGATAAAGAATACGTCATCCATTCCAAATTAATATATTTTTATCTACATTTTCATAATTAAATTTTTACGAAGGACATTCTATCATATTATTTTTCTATCGAGTAGATTTTATCTAGGTGTTCTTTTCCAACGCCTTACAGAACAAAGATAGGATGGTAAAAGAACATACATATTGTTTTTTAGTATGAAACTAAGAATAAAGTCATGGAGAACAACGAGATTGTATGATTGACAAAGATTTAACTTGCAGAAATATCTCGTAACATGTTACAACAAAAAAATCTTTTTTTTTTCTTTGTCTGTACTTATAGTATCATGTGATGATGAATAATACACAGAGATACTTCGAAAATAAAATTACTTTAAGATGAAAATATCAGTGTTGATTATTGGTAGTAGTAGATCTAGAATTTCTAAAAGTAGAAAGGATATAGGAATCACCATATTGCCTTTCCCTGAATCCGTTACTAATTATTGAAAAGATAATATTGTAATTTTCACTCCAATCATTTACAAAAGCTCTGCTGACATATTCACAAAAAATTCACTCATATAAACTGATGATGTGTCACTATTAAAATTACGTTTATTCAAGAAACAGCCCATCTACTTGATATATTTTCGGAAGACAAAAAGAAAGTTTAGTTGTTTGAATAATGATCTTCTAATTAACAGTCTCTATCAAACGATTTTATAAGATCGTGTGAAGTATGAGAAAACTATCTGAACAAAGATAAATATTCTTCAGTTCAATACTTTTCCACATCTATATCGAGTTTTATTTTCATCTGTTGAACGTTTTTAATTAAGAAAAGTTGACTTTTAAAATATGTTCTTTTATTATTAGTATATTTTAATCTTTAGTCAACGATGTTGAATAAATTCTTTTTCTGAATGATATTGTAGATTTCCAATGAGTTTTAAATGAACAACAATGGTCGATAGTTTCTACGTTAATGACATTATTTGAAAATCGTTGTAAAATAATAGACTTTAGAAAAACAAAAATGTAATTATTTTATAATTAAAAATTATCGTTTATATTCTTTAGCATTTGAATAATAATAAAATAGAGATGAGCTTCTTTTTTTCAATAATGTACTCACATAAAAGATCATTTTTTTTTAGTTGAGTACATTCTTTTTATATAAAAGTAAGAAAAACTTAGTTTGCATGAAAAAGCAATAACATTAACAAGTACATGTAATAGTGGTATTGCTATTTCTGAGCAAGTTATTCAATAAATCCTGTTGATTATTTTGCCTTTTTGCTGAGTTTATCAACAATAAATGACAATATATTTTATATTTAATTTATAGAGAGATGATATTTAATGCTGAAATAATCTCTTGTACCACGTGTAAATGACGTACATTTTCATTTAAATCTACTTTACGTTCAATTTATTTTCTATATTTAAATACAGACATGTCTAGAAAGATCATTTGTTAAATATCAGTATTGATCTCCTCAAAAAAATTTTGCTTTCGCACAAATAAGAGAAAAATAAAATACTGAATACAGTTTCTCTAAGCATGTCGTTTTATCAATGACAAAAAAATTCGCTTGTTTGTCTGAGCTCGTACTGACGATACTCAATGTTTTTTTTCAACAAAATGACTTTAGTACTACTCTATATCTTTTTTCCTATCTGTGAAAAAATAAATTTTTTTTCTTAAGGTCACAGTGATACTTAAACAAACGACTTTTCTAAGTATAAACTTTGAACGTGTCTCTATCATTGATTTTAAAAAAACATAGCTCGTTTGCTCGATCCATAAGGTAGATATTCAAATTATTTTTTTGTTCAATGAGTTTTCGAACATCCTGTAGATATATAGAACGTGCCATTTATCAAATAGACATTTCCGTTCACAACATCTTTAATAAACTTTAGATAATGTACTTCTTTCTTGTTATCTTTTTTAGAATTAATCTTAAATACAAGTCATTTTCCTAACACATTTTGCTTAAATATTCGATAAGAAGTTCATATTAGTGGCTGAAAAATTGTACAAGAAGTATATTCTTTCGTCTTCAATCATGAATAACACAAATATGGATACATTTAAAGAAGAAAAAATTGTTCTTCATCGTGTAAAATTTGGTATATTACTCATATTAGAAATTCCATCAATTATACTTTCTCTGTTGTTCTTAATATTTTTTCTCACGCATCAAACTGTTCTTCGTGTTCGACAAAATCAAGGTTTGATATTATTACTATTTATTAACTTTATTCAAGTTACATTCGATTTACCAATGGTTATGCATTTTAACCGTCTTGGTCATGTTAGTCCAGCAACACCAGCATATTGTACATGGTGGACATTTATAGAATACACATTGGATGGAATAAGTGAAATGTTAATGGCTACAATATCTATTCAACGACATATATTTATTTTTCGAGCACACATGTTTAATAATCGTTTGTATCGATATTTACTTCATCACACTCCACTTTTACTTTGTATTGTTTATCCAATAAGTTTTTATTTGACTGTTATTGTGTTTAGTTCATGTGATGGAACCCAATGGGATTATAATTCAAATGTATGTGGTTTTGCAAATTGTTATATAATATATAATAAAATATTAGCTACATATGATTTTAGTATGGATAATGGTTTTCCAATTGTTATTATTATTTTAGCAAATGTAACACTTCTTATTCGAGTTATTCGACAAAAATTGCGTCGTCGAGGAACAGTTTCATGGAAGAAACAAAGACGTATGACAGTACAATTACTTAGTATATCTCTTCTTTATTTTATTGCATGGTTTCCTAATATTCTCATTGGACTTATTCAGCAGTTATTAATACCTACATTCTTGATTGGAATTCAGTTCGATTATATTTTTGATCTTCTTTATCTTATATGTCTTTTATTACCATGGATATGCCTTGGACTATTTCCAGAATTTACTAGATGGATTCGAAAACTTTTATTCCATCGAAATGCAGCACATAACATTGTCAGACCAAGAAATAATTTAAGTTAATTATTAAATCATACATTTAATAACAAAACAGGATTATTTATTTTTGTTCTATGAAATTAATAGAAAAATAGAAAAAACACGAGACTATGATTAAAATAGGTTACAACGTCAAAAACATGATATAGTACACGACATAAGACGATCAGACTCTTCAATTAACATCAAAGTATATTTACAGCTAAGTGTACTCTGATACATCAACAAAATATTATTCTTGCAGAAAGCTGCTTTGTTAATTGAATTTCTCTACGATTTAAAACGGTCATTTCATTTATAAATGAAGTGGGGATTCAGAGCTTTAACTTAAGCATATAATCACTATAAGAAAGGCACTTTCAGCAACATTGAATAGTGAAAGAAATTTTGTACAAATCATTTTAACATATACATCTGTCATTCATTTTTTCTCCATTATACTCCATCTTTTTCCTATTGGAACTGAATTGAATATCTTATATGATATAGTATCACATGAGATATATTCTTCCGCTTTTGGCTCAAAGAAGAATAATTCAAATAATTAATAAATTATTACTCTATTATATTTTTTAGGATTCTATAAATATCACGATACAGTGCATATTAATTATTTCAATTTAACTTCATTCACGTTTTTATTATTTGATATTATTCCAAAACTTTTATTTATTTATTTATACTGCTTGAAAATTCATCCATCGTCAATTAATTATTTGTTTGATTTTTAATTTAATACAACAAATACTACAATAATATTCATCCTGTGTTTTTATAAAATTCATATCCGATTGATGTTGATTCGATAATAAAGCCATAAAAGACTTTTTACTAGGCAACAATATTGATAAACGTCAAAAAAAATTGTTCATGGCGATCGGTAACGATTTTTATAAACCCATTTTCATATTCTTAAATATGAACACTACATTTTCTCATTATTTGTTCATTTCAAAAGAATGATTCTATTCAAAAATCGAAAAACTATTTGTTTAAAGATTCATTTTTTTTATTAGATATTTATCAATGAGACATATTACATAAATATATTGAGAATTTTTTATGAACAGAAAATATACAGTAAGAAAAACAAAATTTACTCTTCATCTAATGTTAAACAATTAATTACATCGTCCGTGAGAGTGTCGACCACCACAGCAATTAACAAAACTTTGTTTATTATCTACATTTTGGCACCGTTGGAAACTGTTAAATGTACCAATACCACCACAACACGCTTGAGTGTCAAGAACTTGTGGACCACAGTCACATGTCCAATCACGAGGACGTCTACAAAATAAAGAAATGGTTTTAATCTATGTATAGTTATCCATGATTAATACATACGAGACAGTTGGGGAAGGCTGGGTAGGCTGGATTTGAATACGCGGGTTTGGCTGGGTAGGCTGGATCTGATTAGTGTATTCAGGCGGGATAGGCGATCTGCCTGTAACAGACATGCTCATCATACATAATACAAGACCAATCATAATCAAAGCCATGAATTTAATACCATTTGATTGCATTTTTAAATATACAATTGATAATAAAGTATGTCTTAATAGAGAATTTATTTTGTCTGATAAAAGTAAATATAAATACACATCTATTTTCTTGTGTATTTATATCACATGATGTGATGAAATAGTCGGTCGTAATCAAATCTATTTTTTTCTTTGACATAGACTGAACAAAAGAAAATTAAAATATTTAGATAAGAAACGTGTACGAAATGAACGATATGTTATCACTTGAATAATAGGATCGAGGTAGATATCGATTATATAGTCATCACATATATATAGACGAAGTGACAACCCTCCATTTTCAAGTTCAAAAGAAACATCGATGAATTCGAAAAATAAAAGTACTGCGAGTGTGATCAATATCGTAGATATGTGAAGAATTAATATAATATGACGTATACAAACACCGATTGGATGAATTTTCATACAAATGTTTTTTTAACATTAAACTTAAAGTTCATTTGAATAAAAATTCATCATTTATAGAAGAATTTCATATGAATTAGAGTAGATTAGATTGTTACTAAATCTAACATTATGAACCTTTGGTTATAATTTTGTGTTAATATATTCAATTATCGATTGTATATCTGTCTCTTTTATCATTTCATCAATTTTTTGATATTGAATGATATTAAGAAATGATTACTTTTAAAATTTCATTTTTTTATTTTTTTCTAGAAATGAATTTAATCAATTTAATAAGAAGAAAAATTCAATTGACTTTATTCATTGTTTATAAATTTCTATAAAACTATCTTTTGGTTCTCATCATCTCAGTTCATATATATTCTTTAACTTATTCTATTTTTTTATATAATAGAAAAAGATAAGATTTTAAAACTTTTTTAAATAAAGTTTTTCTTTCGTTATCTATTAAATTGAGTGATTAATTAATAACCTAATTATTTCTGTATAAAGGTGGCCGTAGATGCGAATAAACGATTTAAAATACAGTGAACTTCTTGGACTAAGAATTGAGTAAAATAGTTATTCATCGTATATATATATGCATAACACTCAGTTCAATCATTCATCATGGAATTGTTGAAAAAATGAATTTGATATTTTTAAATTATAAAAAGTCATAAATAAGTACTTGATTATTTATTTTATAAAATATATTCCTTGAATTCAATTCAATAAGAAAGAATAAAGCTTTTTTTTTATAAATACGAGAAAAAAAATATGTATAAATGGTACAATCACGTTTTACGTGTACGAAACTGTAACTGAGATATTGAGACAATTATCGCTCAATTTTCTTGTTTGTTTAAGTGCGTGATGAATTCAAACAGTTATTCAATGAAGTGAGTGAACGATATCTTCTAGATGAAATATTTTCCAATGTTGTATTAATTGTGTTCACTTCTGATACTGTCTTATAATGATATGTTGACATTTGATTATTGAAAAAATCTTCTATGTTATTTTTCAGATCATCCATTTTTGCCTTATTTTTAGTTGTTAGATTGTTTTCTTCAATAATTGTTTGACATCGTACTGATGTAAGTCGATTTCGAATACTCGGTGTTTTGCTTAACTTAGAACTGATTAATGTAAAATCAACACCAGTTGCAATGGGTTTAATAGAAATATCACGAATTGCACGATATCTACCACAATTATTTAAATGTTCATTTTCTAGACGAAAAAAATTCCAAGAAAAACGACGAATTAATTCAATTAAACCAAAACAAAAACCAGTGACATCAGCATATTCAGCTGCTCCTGAATGAAATTGAATAAAGATATTCATTGTCCAACTATAACGAAAGACAATTTCTTGAATAATAGCATAATAATAATAATTCTTCGACGAATAGATAATATGATCACGTAAGAATCTATTTTCACCAGCATTCTTATCAAATAAACCCCAATCCATTTTAATATCCCATATAATCTTATAGGTTGAACTGATGAATGCAGCAATAATCCATGTATAAACAAATGGATTACTTATTAGATTGTTTGAATAATCGTTGCTGAGTGCAATGCTTCCACGTCGAAGTGAATTTGTAATTGCTACAGAGATACTTGAGGCATATTTTCCAGCATTGACAAGATGTGGATATTTAAGTTTTGTATCATAATATCGTCGTATACATTGAATAAAACGAAGCATAGATGGTAGTGCAAGAAGAAGTGCTTGTAGAAGAAACCTTGTCCAACCTGTACAAAATACGTGCTCAGGTGATGGTAACGAGTCTAGATTTGTTGACCACCATTCGTGATTTGAAAAATAAAAACAAAAGAAATATTCGAGATCATAAAAAGCTAATTCGATCGATGTAAGTTGATTGCAAAGCCAATTATCTGCAAAATGAATACGATGAAAAGCTCCTGTAAAGACTAATCCCAATGTTCTTAAAAGCCAATAACGAGCTGGACGATAGAGTATTGGCGCTGGATTAATAAGAAGGATAATCATAAGTATAAAAAAAATAAGTGGTTGTATGAATGGATAGAAATCTAGATAAGATGTAAGAATAAATGCAATAAAACTAATACACCATAAAACACAAAGAAATGCTCCAGTTTCAAGCAATTGTTGATAGGTTAAATGATTACGTGGATCGAGTTCGAATATGAGAATATGATTGACACCTGCTGATGACCAACCATAAACATTTATACCGGCAAGTATAATTTGAAGAATTATTAGAAATGATGAACGATAAAGATGAAGAGCCTCACGCCATGCTAACGGTTTTCCTGATTGACTCTTATTGAGAACGATAATAAGGATAATTACCATCGGTAGTAGAACAGCAATTACTCCTATAAATTGAATTTGATGAAAGATAGTTTCATTTATAGATACATGGATATAACTTACCAATAAAGATACCAAGACGAAATGTTACCACTGTCGATTGTGTTTCTTCAAGTGGTGGAACACGAAGACGTTTCATTGCTTGTGCTCGATCACCTGATTCAAGTTCATCTATATAGATTCTTTCAACATCACGGATAAGTTCTGTTACTGTTGTTGACGTATAAAACGTTGCTTTATCAATATGTAATTTCCTATATAAAAGTTTACTATATACATATTTATCTCACGCTGAAACACATACCGCCATTCATCGCCACGTGTCGTATGAAATAGTTTATCATGTTTTTTTAATATTTTAATAAATCCAGTAAAATTTAATAATTGATATTTTTGTAAAAGAATTAACATTAAATAATATTCGCTAAATGCCAGTTTAAGAGTTTTTGTGTCCTTATGAATTATACGTTGTTTTCCTTGTTTTTCAGCATTTTTCACGAATCGATCGGGTAGAATACGACTGAATGGTGTTTTCAAACTAGACCTTTGGTTTCGATGCATCATAAGAATTCTATCATCATGACATTGACCAATTTTATTTGCTTTTTGAATAATAGCAATAGGAGGGTTACGACATGGAGAAACGTCTCCATATATTAATTTTCTGTATTGAATCTCATCTTTAAGAGTTGTAAATCGTCGTAATGCTCTAAAAGTATATATATAATATATTTAGTAATTTTTTTCTCATGTAAAGATATACTTACTCGGCTAGTTTTTCAGCAAAAAAAGTATTAATCTTTGTTACTTGCTTTCCACAATACTAAACAAAAATGAATAAATCGATCGAAAAATAAGTGATATATTTCTATGATTCTTACTTCGAAAAATTCCTCATCAACACGAAGAAAATATTCTTCATAAGCTGATTTGTCATCATCATCATCATTATTGACTAATATCGGTGCTTCAGCAATTGCTTTGTTGAGTAATTCTTTCATATATTGATACTGAATATATTGAGAATTCCATTCAGGCGTAAGATTAGCTAATAAATGTACACCAAATTTCATTTTGATAAGTATAATACTAAAAGTATGTTTTATGAATGAAATAATATTATATCGATTAAATAAAAGAGAGAACTTACTTGTTACTGAATAATATCAAAATGTAAAAACATATTTTAAGATATCTATAAGAACATAGCATCATTAATAAAATAGTCGTAAACGTTCACAATCGAATTTTAAAGATAAAACTATTCTAAGATGAATCAATCAAAAGATCTTCCTCGAGTGATGATATACGGTGTTGACTTTTAAAGTTAAAGAAAGACTTTTTTCAAGTGATGCATTATTATTATAATTTGTATAGTAAGAAAAAGAACGTCTTTTTAAAGTACGTAAAAGATCTTTCAAGGACCATTTAACTAGTGTCCTACGGTCATAATTTTTAAGGTGAGAAAAAGGTATTTTTAAAAATGATATAAAAAATGCCTTAGAAGGGCGTTATGTGCGTCATAGATTTTATCGTTAGGTCAAGGTCGTTTTCGGACATTTTCATTTATGAATATTAATAGAGTCGAAAAGGAGGGATTGATTCTTACTATATTACAACAAATAAAAGATCATTTTCAGATAATCATTTTCTATGGTTGTAATTCTATAGCGACAGTACTATAAATAGTCAAAATATGATCCTCGAAGATGATGAAAATTTATCTGTCGACTATAAGATAGATCTAGTGTAAATCTTCGATCTTTTCAACAACAAAAGTATGATGAATTGGAGACGTGAGTTAATGATTACTTACGACCATGGTTGTTATCGAATTATTTCATAATTGTATTTGTATTGATATCACTACGAACACACATTTATATATATATAGTAGTTACTAAAGAGAAAAAAAGAAAGAAAAAGAGACATCGTTTCGATCAACATTAATGAATAAGTCACGAGAAGAGGAAAGAGAAAGGTAGTGAGGGGTAACGGTCATCAATCATTACAAAGTGCAAGTTATCATTACTTTTTTTGTCATATAGAGTCCGTCCGATTATTTATAAGATTCATTGATTACAATTAAACAACTGATTAGATGACGATAAGTAAAACTAATACATATTATCATTATTGTATCTAATGAATATTTTATTATCATTCACATAAAAAGAATATATTTATATGAAGAATACTTCAATCTAGATATAATGTAGTATAAATTTATTATAAGTTCTACATTTAGTGGCTTATCCAGGATTTGATCGGTGGTATAGCAATGCTTTACGAAATTTTTAAGACTTATCATATCACTTGATAATTCAAAATCAGTTCCTAGTCTTTCAGTTTTTTAGAAAAAGATTAATTTGATGTGAAGCACTTTTATTAAAAGAAATGATAAGACCAAAATTCAAATAGAAGATAATTCAGATCAAGTGAAAGGAATAGTCTCTCTCTGAATATGTAGAAATCTGTTCGTGTTGCTCATCATTAGCAGATGTTCAGCTTATATTCACTGTTTTATTTGAAAGAGAATCTGTTGTATTATGCGGAATGACAGAAGTCGAGTTCCGGTTCGTTACATTGTATGAATTAAAAAACGATCGAATAGTACCACATTTTGATTCTTTTCAAGATTGATCCATCTTTAAACTATGAATTTCGATTTGTCAACACTATTTCTGAAACAGTTTTTCGTTTCTTTCCTATTGTGTGAAAAGAATTAAAAACTAATGCTTTCATTATCCAATAATAATAGATACTATTGACCTGTTAAGTTGTTTATACTATTCTTCAGATGTCACTCACTATCAGAGATGTACCCTTATGTAACTTCATCGACAATATAACAAAAAAAAAAGATACCTAGTAAGAACTTTTCCTCGGTGGCATGGTAGTGCCAGGCCTTAAATACGTCACTATTCTACATTTGTTAAAACTGTTTTTGAGTACTAATAGCAGTATATTGCACATAACGAAATACTATATTCATTTTCATTTAATATTTAATGTACTATTTTTCTACCAATTCAGTTATTAAAATGCTGTTCTTACATTATATCTATGTTTCAGAAGATAATTTGTAACCCTACCACTACTTAGATATATAGGGAATAAATATAATTTCTTGAATTATTTCGACAGAGCTTACTGACTTTTCTAAAAGTACAAAAAATAAAATATAATCATCAATAATCATTTAAATTTTTCATTTCAATATATTTCTTTATATTATATAGCGGCTTGTTCACATAACGCGATACTTCAGACATTAAGTATTTATATCACGTTTTAGAACAGACTCGGACGTGTACAAAAATGTATTTTGTTATTCAACATCATTTGTAATATTGTTTATTGCTTTTGGAGCTAACTGTACATCCTAATACCTTGCAGACTATCAAATATAGCCTTTCTTTTGGCAACAAGTAACATTCATCGAAACTCGATTCACTTGGCCCTAGACTGTCGCGATCTGCATGCGAATATGGCTGTATATAGATGTAAATGAGAGTTGATCAGTATTAGTTTCGATTTTCAGTAAGAAATCAAATTGAACTACTACTTTTCATAAAATCAAGGATTTTCTAAAAGTTTGATATTTGATGAGTGTGTAATAAAAATTTGATATTTGATAAATGAATAATAAAGTTTGATACTTGATGATTGAGTAATAAAGTCTGATACTTAATGATTGAGTAATAAAATTTGATATTTAATCAATGAGTAATAAAGTTTGATATTTAATGAATGAATAATAAAATTTAAAAATGCTTTAGCTTTACTAAATTCAATTTTATGAAAAGTAGAATTGGAAAAAAATTCACAGTGTAGATCTCTATCGTTATATCAATCAAAATTGAAGTTAAACTCTTTTATCTATATGCACTATAACAAGACAACTAAACTGACAAGTTTACTTAAAATGATTAAATTATAATGCATAATTGTTGAAGCTTCTAATGCTGGGCTTTATTTTTCTGATTTGTGGTACAAGATGTTTGAACACATCGTCGTTCTTTTTATACATGCATTAAAAATATTTCTCGATGATGACGAACGACATGCTGTATAAAAATAGTCGAACATTTTTCTCAAAGCTTTATGATATTCTGAGTACACGAACGTTCCGTTTTTTGTTATTAATATTATTTTCATCTTCCTCCATATTAAAAGTAAAATTGGCGTTGTCGCATTATTTTAATTTATTCAGTAAAATAATGATCTATATATAATTCAGAAATATTTCAAATATTTAAACTCGCGCCCTTTTTAACAAATAAATTAAGTACTATATATTAAATATTATACTATTCAAATAAAACGATAATAGAAAATAAAAACTGTGTTATCAAAAATATACCATAGTTGCAAGGTTATTGGCGCAAAAAAAAGTGATCGTTTGTGCCGTGTTACCGACAAAAATAATACATGTAAATAGATTAATTTCCGTTTCTAGACCCTATCCTTTCAGTCTAGGGAAAATAATACTTGATCAATATCGCCGTAACAACGTTAAGAAAAGACATTATTTTAGAATTTTAGTAAGTTACGTACATAATACTGGTGTAAAAATGAATGGATTATTACTAATTTTTCACGGTGATTCTGATGTACTATGAGATAGATAAATGTAATACTGTTACGAAAACCTAATTATTTGAATTATTTTCAGTTTATGTATTTGAAATGATCACTACGTAGAATATAGTCTTAATTTCTATTTATTCTTCGATATTTTTAGCTAAGGTTAATTCTAATCATAACAATTGATATATATATATATTCGAAATTAAAGTTAAATTTTGCACTGAATGACCTTTCATATACCTCTCGTAAGCAGATGATAGACGTTCAAAATAAGAAAATGATCGTTTTTATCACTTGACAGCAAAAAATGTCTATATCGGACGAGGAGAGAAGAGAACGATGGGTGTGAGTGAGAAATGAAGATAATACCTAAACTCACACACTTCTGCATACACACTCATACCAAACACAAATTCAGACGATTTGGATTTTAAATTGTGAGACTCGGTATATGCCTAATAATCATATTTTTTTAATAATATCTCCAAAAGCGTCTTGCATCCATAGGCTAATATATCATCACTCATAAGCAAAGATAAGAAAGAAGGAGAGATAGTCAGATAATTTTACCTATGATTTATCTAGAAGCAACGCAGTTCGTATATATCTTCTTGTAGGAATATAGTCTCTCGTCATTTATTAAGCGTAACAGTTTTTAACTAATATGTTATATAAAACGACAATTATATGGATACTAATGACTCTTGCGTTGGCCAAGAATATACCATCTATGTATCCAAAAAATGAATTACTTCGTATGTTCACCGTAGAAGAAAATCACCATCAACAGAAGATTGTATTGCCTAGTAAGGCTTCGAACAAGATGATTACATGTCTCCATGATTGCCGATTTGATTTTCTATTTAATGATTCACTAATTATACCATCAAGCTGTGAAACCAAGGTTCAATCCACAAGGTGTTTACTAAAACTCTACATGAACTATATTGACAATAAAGGTAGTGCCATGTTTGAAGCTGACAACACGACTGAGTTTGATTTTGATGTTGGTATAGCAGCAGAGACTCGGTTTTCTTTTCAACGGCAAAATGTCGAAAAACTTATTACTTGGACATATGTTTGCAGAAATGGTGATGAATGTAACATCAACTATTTTCACGATTACATTTCACATTACGTCGAGTTCACTAAGCAACTAGATACTATGTACTCCCATTTCTCTGCATTACTCTATAATGCAAATAATTCATCAAGTGTGCAACAATGTTATAGCAATTCAGATACACTGAACGATTGCAACAATGGTATGTGTTTATATTCTTGGGAAGACATTCAAAATCCAACTGGCGTGTATAGCTGCAGTCACCGTCAAAATCGCATAGAAATTCGTTACTTTGTAGTTCGAACATCACCAGTTATTCACATAACGAAAGATTCAAATTCTATTGAGTTTTCATGTAACTTAGACAAATGCAATTCTCTCAACAATGGAGTTGCGATCAGAAAAGCAATTGAATCAGATTGGGGAGGTATTTTAAATACTAATTCTGCATCTTTAAACTTACCAACTTTTTCTATAAATCTATTAAGCTTTAATCTAATTTTTATGTTTTTAATAAAGCTTTTCACTTGAAAAACAGGTTCAAAAATTGAATTTGAAACCCTGATTATATCTTTTAATATATGATGAGTAAAGAATTATACATCTATTGTATGAAAAATTTCTAACATCATATTTCTGCAGTAAGATGATAAGATAACATACATTTGTTATACTGAAATCTGACGAGCTTCATATACCATGAATGTAAAAGAATTCGTCATCACTGTTGATAACCATCTCCAAGGTGTAAATATGGATGAAGACATAAATAGTAAATATTACATTGAAACGTATAAATACCAACGGTCACACTCTCTCAACTATTTTGAGAAACAGAATAGAAAAATTAGTTGCCGTGTACGTTGATAAATGAAACAAAATAATAATGTTTAACATTTTGTGCAACATGTGCAATTCCAAAAAGTGTACTCTAGTTTTTACCCCGTTTCATATTTTTTGTTGAAATGTTCTCATCATGTTTTGCTATATGAACACATAGAAAGGGTGTGGGTATGGGTGTATAAGCTAAGTGAGTACAGTATCCACATTCATACCCAAAGTTACACCTACACCCAACACCCAAATAGACGTGAATAAAAATAACTATGTATTTGTTTCTGGTTAGTAAAATTTAAAACTCCTCTATAGGTGAAATTAAGATTTTAATTTCTCCTGAAACATATGTTCTTCTTTCCTTCACATATATATATATCGACATGGTATTTTCGTCTCTTCCTTTATATATGAGCACATGGAATTTTTTTCTTTTTACTCACATATATGATCATGTGGAGTTTTCGTTGTCTTAATGCGTTCTCCTTCTATTTTTTTCACTTATTTTAAAATGGGTTATTTCCAAGTGATGAACTAAAAGATATCACTTCAGCATTTTCCTGGAATATGTCATATTACGAGAGACGGGAATAGTCAAAATAATCATTTTTTGTCCTATAAATACTTGCGTTTTCTTCTTAAACAAACGAACTATTACTACGCTTCCAAAACTATCATCTCCTTCTACAAGTTACAAATAAGACTGTACCACAATCATCATGAATTGGTAAGTTATTATAAATTATTTTCTTAAAGATCTAATCTTATATTTTAGTGAATTTATACCATTTATTACCTCCTTTGAATATCTTTCTAATGAACTTATCTATGAAATTTTTGATTATCTGGATTTTTACGATGTTCATAAAAGCTTTTTAAATCTTAACATTCGCTTTTATAATCTTATTAATTCGTCGGCATTTCCTATTAAAATCAATCTTTCATCAATATCAAGATTGATGTTTCAACTTTATTATAAACATATTATTATTCCTTATCAAAATCGAATTACTTTGCTTCAATTATCGAATCATTTTATTGCTGATCTTTTTTCAGTACAATACAATAACATGATTCAACTTCGAACATTAATTCTTAGAAATATTGAATCAAAATTTCTTAACAACATTCTTACAGATTTAGTATGTCTACCTTCACTTTCTTCATTAGTTATTAAACCGATTGATACTCTTCCAAACGGCAACGATTTATACCGTCAAATATTTCGTTTACCTGTATTAAAATATTGTAATGTAACATTCAATGAAGCTATTATCTCTGAACCGTTACCATTTGCAACGGATAAAGAAGTCAGTCCTATCGAAATATTTCTTATCAATCATGATTGTCGTATTGATCAACTCAATGCTTTTTTATCATATGTTTCTCAAGTTCGTCGTGTTTCATGTCATATTCTATCTAAATTAAGTAATCATCAAATACCAATACGATCAATTGAATTAAAGAATTTAACACATCTTTCTCTTACAATGAAAGATCTAACATTTGATCAAATTAAATTATTAATTGAAAAACTTTTTAATTATCTTCAAGTTTTTCATATTACTACAAATTATTCTTTATCATATTCCGATATAAATCAATGGGAACAAATGATATTACCTTATTTACTAAACTTACGTATTTTTCATGTCAAATTATTATCTGATCGACCAAAATATCTATTTTGGTTCAATCAACAATGGTATAATGAAGGATTGGAAACAGTTTCTCATAGTTTTTATTCAATACAATCAATTAAGTAAGATTATAAAATCCGAAACAAATGTTTTAACTTATTAAGATATTCAGTCTATTACTCGTCTACTTCTTAGATATCATTGGTTGCATGAAGAATTATTTCCAGCTACACATATAAATAATTTTTATTCAGTTAATCATATCTCTATTCATAACGAGATAGAAATGACTCGTAATTTAATTTATTTTCCTAATGTTACGAAATTGACTATTTTTCCGTATTCAAATCGAACTTATCATTCGCTTTCAACTATACTTGATCGAATCATTCCTTTGATACAATTGACGGAATTAATTATAAATTATCCGAAATTTTGTATTGGAGAATTAGTTGAATTATTATATTATTCACCAAATATTAGAATATTAATACTTCATTCAATTTCATTTAATAAAATAACATCTCGATTGATACAAGAAAGTCAAACTTTCGAAACAGTATCGAAGAAGAACAGAATTACAAATGTTACTATTGCAGAATCTTATACATAGGAACATATGAAATTACTTTGTAATCTTTGTTCTCAATTACAACGACTGACTATTACTAGATCTCGATTATTTTTTGGTGGTTATATGGATATAGTACAATTCTTATTGCACGACCATAACCACAAAACTCGTCATTTGTCTTCTTTGTGCTTTACAAATACAAATCCATTTACAAATCGAAGATTAAGTTCAGAGTATGCGTCGACCCATGTTTCTATAAAATCTATTGAAAAAAACTTATATGTGTGGTGGTAACATTTATATGAATAACTATTGTTTGTAAATAAATACGAAGATTTCTGTCAATTCAGTTTGTAGCGAAATTGACATAAATCACCAAGATGTGAGAGGTATGTGGTGACTGACTAGTTCATGAGGGTATGGGTGGGTGTGAGTGTAGGTGTGGCCAGATCTTATGAACTCTACTCTTCCATTTACAAAGTAAATATTTGAATCATACCTAGTAAACAAAAAATTCTTTTATGAATTGTAGTGCGTGTGTATAATATTATATGTTCAAAAAACCAACAAAAATTACTACTATTAGAAATATTGAGCTAAGAATTTTGATTTAACATTGACAATGTATAGTCTTCCAGTTGACATAAAATCTGTTTTCAAATGTCTGATAGTTTAAGAAAATCAATTGTTTACAAAAAAAGTCTCCTAGGTCAAATGATAAGAAGGAGTATTCCCATCGTTGAAATATATGAAACTGAACGTTTGAGAAAAAGTAATCTTTTCGAGCAAATATTGTATGCATTCTTTTCATAAAATATATAATATAAGATGATGCACAGTATGAAGGATCTTACTATATTCACATAAGTACAATTAAGATATAGTTGTACGCTTTTGAATAAACTGCTGCATCTTTGACTTATATCATCTAGTGCATGTAGTAGAAATATGAGACCTAATGGACGATCTATAAGATAGAAATCGAAAAACTATTTGTTTAAAAATTCATTTTCTTTATTCGATATTTATCAGTGAGATATATTACATAAATATATTGAGAATTTTTTATGAACAAAACATATACAGTAAGAAAAAGAAAATTTACTCTTCATCTCATGTTGAACAATTAATTACATCGTACACTTACAGTTTAGTCGACTACTAGCACAACATTCAACAAAATCTTTTACACCTTTCTGATTCATATTTTCACATCGTTGGAAGCGGTTGAATCTAGCACCAATTCGCCCAACACAACACAAACCAGTTGTAATAGGATCTCGGCTACAGTCACATGTGAAATGAAGACGTCTACAAAATAAAGAAATGACTCTAATCTATGTATACTTATACATGATTAATACATACGGTGAAGATACGCCTGAAACAAACATACTCATCATGCATAATATAAGACCAATCATTATTAAACCCATGAATCTAATACTATTTGATTGCATTACTGAAATACGATTGATAATAAAGTATGTCTTAATAAAGAATTTATCTGAATTGATAAAAGTAAATATAAATATACATCTGTTTTCTCGTGTATTTATACCACGTGATGTGAAGAAATAGTCAGCCATAATCAAATCTATATTTTTCTTTGACATAAACTGGACGAAAGAAAATAAAAAATATTTAGATAAGAAATGCATACAAATCGACGATAACATATCATCTTAATAATAGAATCAGGGTAGATATCGACCATATAGTCATCACATATATATAGAAATAGTGACAATCCTCCATTCTCTAATAGAAAAGAAAAAGTACTGCGAGTGTGATCGATATCGTAGATATGTGAAGAATGACGATAATACGACGTATATAAATACTAATTAGATGAATTTTAACATAAATTTTCTTTTGACATCAAACCTGAAGTTCATTTGAATGAGAATTCATCATTCTCTTATATGAATGGTTGTCATAGAATTGAAACTTCATATAAACAACGAACTTGAAGTTTATAGGGTGGGATGTGGGTGATGTACCAACTTTTCTACATTATCCTACTCGACACACCTATTCTCACAAAAAATAGACTCTGTTGTAAAGATAACTATGAATTTCTTCATCTGCCATCTCCAACAAATATTACAACCAAAATAAAACAAGACCAGAAATAATACTTGACAACTCCATCTTTTTTCTATTGGAACTGAATTGAATGATGTATATGATACTATCATATGAGATATATTCTTTCGCTTTTGGCTCAGTGAAGAGTGGATGAAATAATTTATAAATAAAAAAAACTTGTGTATTTATGCCTTCTGTATAATCAAATATTACTCTATTATATTTCTTACGATCCCATAAATATCGTAATACAATGCATATTAATTCTTTCAATCTAATTTTATTTTAAAATTTTTATTTATTAGTTTATACTACGTACGTGAAATTCATTCACCGTCAACGAAATATTTATTTTATTGTTAATTTAATGCAACAAATACTAAAATAATATTCATCTTATGTCTTCATAAAAAGATATATATCTGATTGATGTTGATTCGATAATAAAAGCGTAAAAGACTGTTTACTAGACAACAATATTAATAAACGTCAAAAAATTATTCATGATGATTAGTAACATTTTCTATTTTAAAGTCACATTAGACACGATAAAGAAAGACAAAAAGCGTAGATTGCTATCTGTTTAAATAATCTTTTTCAAAATCGTCATACAATTCGAACAAAAAAAAACATAAACATTCATTTTATTTTTTAAAATCATCGTCCTGATGACAATAAGAAAAGTGAACTATTAAAATAAGATATCAATTTTCAGTTTATGAACTTATTTAAAAATTCATTTTCTTTATTAGATATTTATCAATGAGACATTTTACATAAACATATTGAGAATTTTTTATGAACAAAAACTACACAGTAAGAAAAACAAAATTTACTCTTCATCTAATGTTGAACAATTAATTACATTGTACACTTAGAGTTTGGTATACTACCACAACATCCAAGATAACCTGATTTATCTGATATACCTTGACACCGTTGGAGATTGATAAATTTAGTATTAAGTTGCCCAGCACAACACTGTTGAGTTGCGACACCATTTGTACCACAGTCACATGTCCAAGCACGAGGACGTCTACAAAATAAAGAAATAGTTTTAATCTAAGTATACTTATCCATGATTAATACATACGGAACAGGTCGGGCAGGTGGAGCAGGCCGGGCAGGTGGGAAATACGGTGGCGATGTGCCTGAAACAGACATGCTCATCATACATAATACAAGACCAATCATTATTAAACCCATGAATTTAATACCATTTGATTGCATTTTGGAATATATGATTGATAATAAAGTATGTCTTAGTAGAGAATTTATTTTGTCTGATAAGAGTGAATATAAATATACATCTATTTTCTCGTGTATTTATATCACATGATGTGATGAAATAGTCAGTCGTAATCAAATCTATTTTTCTTCGAGATAAACTGTCGAAAGAAAATTTGAACAATAGAATCGAGGTAAATATCTATTGTATAGTCAGCACATATATATAGACGTAGTGACAACCCTCCATTTTCTAGAACAATAGGAACATCGTATAATTCCAACAGAGAAAGTACTGAGAGTGTGATCAATATCGTAGACATGTGAAGAATGAAGACGATATGATGTATACAAACACTGATTGGATGAATTCTCATACAAACTTTCTTTTGATATCAAATTTGAAATTGATTTGAATGAGAATTCATCATTTATAGAAAAATTTCATATAAATTAGATTAGATTAGATTGTTACTAAGTCTAATATTATAAATCATTGCTTATACTTTTGTGTCAATATTTTCTATTATCGATTGTATATATCTATCTCTTTCATCATTTCATTATTTATAAATTTCTATAAAACTCTTTTGATTCTCATCATCTCAGTTCATATATTCTTGAGAGTGTGAATGTGTATAGATATTAATTCAGAATATATCGTACCCACACTCGCCTATAAATAATTTATCTTAATGACTGAGCAATAGAAATGGTAGCAAACAAGAACATACTTTTATACAAGACGTACTCTTTGCATTTCACTGATATTTTAAATATGATGATATATGCTTCTGCTATAGTATACTGTAAATATCTACTTGTTTCATATTAAGATTTTAAATAAAACGATGGATTTTAGTGTTATGTCATACTAATAAGAAAGCTACTAGGAAGAATTCGATTATATGAATTTAAAAGATTAAACTTCCAAAAATATTTAGAAACATGTGATAAAGATTTAAATATATCTGTAATCAAGATAATAAAAGTATATGAAGTGCATAAGTGGTATATCAAACTTAAAACTAGAGGACTGATTGATCTATTCATTTATTCAAACAATACGATTTCCTCTTAGGATTAATTAAAAAAATATTGTCTAAATATTGTACCATCTTAATATATTATATTAAGGAAAAAAGAAATGAAGATAATTTTTCTTCTCTTCCACTTGTTTATTTATTTTCGGTTATATTCTTTTGTTTATGCATAACTTCATCGAAAATAATACCCACGCGTGGATTAACATTTATTTGACTCTTTCACGCAAATACCACAAATATTTGACGCATGCTTGATTATATCGAATAATATTCTGTACATATTAATGTACAGCTATCTTTAAGCACTTTCAACATTTTATTTTGTAATGATTCATGGGCTGAATTATATATGACGGCTTTTTTTATATAATTTACTGCATATGTATACATATTTATCGAACCATTTTAGGAGTACTATAACTTTCTTTTTTTTCCTTTTCATAAAGGTAAATTTTTGTTATTAATCATGATAGAAAAACATACCCACGTATATAAAAAGAAAGAAAGCAAGAGCACATGAATACATTATAAATAATTTCACCTTTTCAAAACATATTTACAGAGGATAGAACGATGTTGAAACTATTTGTTTTTGTATTATTTTTCTTGTCTTTACAATGTATTTTATTTACTAATGGACTCGTAGTAAGTCAAACATCTTGTCCATTACCGCCAAAATTAAAAAATAATTATGATTATGATTGGAAATCACGAAATAATGAATGGGTAAATACAAAAAGTAAAACAGATTATTTACTTCTCAGTCTCTCATGGTAAAATTTTTTGATATTTTTTTTAATGAAATTTCGAAATCGTCTTATCTTCTTTTTAGGTCACCAACCTTTTGTGCATCACTCCCGGATAGAGTACGTGATAACGAATTTCAATGTTCTCGAAGTGATTCATTTGGTCTTATTGTTCATGGACTTTGGCCACAAACATCTGGATCATCATCGTATCGTGATCAACCTCGAAATTGTCGAAATGAACAACAACTTCCAACATCACTTATTAAACGTTTTTATTGTCTTATGCCTGATGAAGATTTAATGCAAGCAGAATGGGAAAAACATGGTAATATTAGATTTTGAATATAAAAAACAAATATATTATTCTTTTATCTATAGGTTCATGTTATTTTAAAACACCAATGGAATATTTTACAGTAATAGAAAATCTTTTTAATCAATTAAAAATTCCTGATATTCGTACTATGAAACAACCAACCTATAAAACAATTAGAGATGCTTTTGTTTCATTAAATTCACCTAATTTATTTTATTCAGCTATTAATGTTCAAATGAATCAAGAAGGTCAATTAGGTGAAATCAGAATTTGTTATGATCTACAATACAAGTTTATTAGTTGTAAACAATAATAGAACTACTGAAATTTTATTTTACAGTTTATTTCATTATATTTAAATCTAAAAGTTATATTAAAATCATAATAAAAATAAAAAGCTTTCTAAACTTGCTCTTAAATCAAAACACATATCTGTCATGAGTCGTTCGAGGCTTTTTTTTATATCGTATTTTTTTTTATAGTTTTCTTTCCATTTGTAACAACTTTAAAAAAAGCATACCGATGCCGTGAAAATAAAGATATGTATATTCATTAAGTGCATTAATACCACATTCAAGGTTTATTTGCTTACAGTTTAAATTAATTAATTAATGTAGGTGAAGAATAAAAATCTTTACCAGCTGTTATTGATATATTTTATATTTTTATTGTCTGACCAAATATAATTAAACAATCTTGCATATAGTTACTTCTAATGCATGTTTTATTTTCAATTTTATTAAATATAGAAATATTACAAGATCCTGTTAAACTAAATTGATTATCTTCGACACTCTGAAATATATAAAATATAGTCAAAAAAAGGTAATCTCCACATTTGCAGTTTACGCTGTTTGTTGGAGCTCACTCTTTTTAATAACATATAATCCGGAGTACAGGTGTCCACTCTTTCTATTCACACTCACACTCACATACGTCCTTTCTTTGTCTTTCCTCCTCTATATATGATGCCAACAGAACAACAAAATAATTCACCTCGTGCGCAGTATAAATATGTTTCAAGCTCTCACGCACTTCGTCGTCATTCTTTTCATTTTTGTCGTCGAGAAAGACACTCGCCTTGAAAACAGTGTTGTTTCATAGTAGCATGACGACAAAAGATTTAAAGACTCTCTCGGTGAAGTTGCCTGTTGGCGAGGATGCAATTGATGAAAACAAGGAAACTATCACTCTCATTTGGTTCGATCCTAACATCGGTTCACATGAGGACACGGAGACAACGACGCAAAAGCTGCGTGAAATCAACGATCGCGTCGTATTTCATATCGACCTCGAGCAATGTCTCGCTCATATTCGATCGATCAGCACCGAGAAAGTCTTCTTGGTGACGTCTGGCAGAAGAGCAGTAGATCTCCTTCCGCAGCTTATCCATCTCTCTCAAGTCGACTGCATTTTTATCTTCTGCATGAAAAGAAGCAAGTACGAACATCTCATTCATGAGCATGATAAGATCGTGGGCATCTATGTTGATCTGACTGATTTGTGTGCATCAATACGCGAACAAATCAGTCTGAACGAGAAGCACCTGGAGACATTCAACTTCTTTAATCAACATGAAAAAGCGACGAAGGACCTATCCAAACAGGCAGCCGAATTTCTCTGGTTTCAACTCTTTCGCTATATAGTCGTTCGTCTACCACGCAACGAACAAGCAAAGAAACATATGCTCGATATGTGCCGTTCCTACTATCGAGGGAATGCGAAAGAACTCCATCTGATCGATGAATTTGAGCAGCATTATCGAGCAGAGTTAGCCATTGAATGGTACTCCAAGGACTCGTTCGTTTACAAGCTTATTAACAAGGCACTTCGAATCGAAGATATCGATCAGTTGTATACTTTTCGATTCTTTATCGGCGATCTCTCCGACTGTCTGACTCGTGAACATCAGCGGACTGTGCAGAACGAAGGCGGACTGTTAACCGTGTATCGAGGTGCCAAAGTGTCTCGCGAAGAACTCAATCAATTGCAAGAAAACGAAGGCAAACTTATATCAACGAATGGGTATTTGTCTACCAGTCGACTGCGGAAGAAAGCACTTGCTTTTGCCACCAAGCGTACAGAACGCACGAATGCTTTGCCTGTTCTGTTTGAAATCGAATGTGATGCTCGACAAGTGGACATCAGTGTGATCTTCGCCGACATTGCGCAGTTCAGTAAGTATCCTAACGAGAAAGAAATCTTGTTCGACTTGAGTGCCGCTTTTCTTTTGCAACGGGTTCAATACGACGGGCAAGTCTGGCTGATCACGATGAAGGCCTCCAGTGATGGAGATGCAATTACTCGCGACTACATCGAAATCACTCGTCGCGAAGCCGACGAGAAAACAGTAGTTATCATGTTCGGGAAGTTAATGTGTCAGATGGGTCAGTACGAAAAATCGCAAAAATACTTTGAACAGTTATTGCGCGATCCGAACGGTGAGGATATCGCTTGGATTGAATTCAACATCGGTCGAGCACTTCATTACAAAGGTGATCATACGCAAGCCAAAGCAATGTACGATCAAGCGTACGATCGAATGACCAGTGGCAAACCAACCAGAATCAAAGATTCCGCGTCAGTGTTGAATAACATTGGTCACATCCTCAAAGCGCAAGGAAAAAACGATGAAGCTCTTGTTCACTATCAACAAGCCCTACAGATTCGAGAGACATACCTCCCAGTTGGTCATCCAGATGTGGCTATAAGTCTCAAGAATATGGGCGTTTTGTTCGCCAAGCTTAAAAAGTATGAAAAAGCGCTCGATTTCTTTCAACGAGCACTGAACATACAGCAAGAATATTACCCGACGGGCCATCCTGACATCGCTTACAGTATTTATCTCATAGGGAAACTTTTTCAAAAGCAAGAGAAGGATGATGAAGCTTATCAATATCTTCATCGAGCACTGACGATGCAAGAAAAATATTATCCTGCAGGCCATCTGGACACCGCCGTTAGCCTAACGCACATTGCTACTTTGCTGAGAAAACGTAGAAAGTACGATGACGCCAATCAATTCTATCGCCGAGAACTTCATATACAGAAAAAATGCTATCCGGCCGATCACCTTGAGCTGGCTTATACTTTGGAGAATATCGCCGAAATGTATGAGAAGCTCGATGAGATGAGTATGGCTCTCGATTACTACCAGCAAGCAGCAGCCATTTACGAGAAGAAGTTGCCCATCAATCATTCGCTTCGGAAGAGAACTGAGAAGAATATTCGGCGACTCTCATCGTGAGTCGAATTAGGAGTATCTTGAGGGTGTGGGTTTGGATAACCTGTGTTCATTGACAGACTCACGCACACCTTCAAGATGGGTGTGGGTGTGGATTAGGAATATCACTTTACCTTTACTTTATTAATAAAGATACATTTTTTCATGCAACAAGTATATATGCAAATACCCTGTATAACAATAGAATACGTTTATTAATGCTCTTTCTCATCAACATCACCATCACCATTTCCATATGCCAGATCATCAAAAAAAAGGATCACACAAGAAATGATATATATGAAAAATGCTATTTCATATTATAGTTAACTATATCATATCATAATTTTTTGTATGAACTAGTCTAAGAAAATAAAAAAGTACGCTTCGATAGAAAAAAATCTCTATTCTTTATACAATAACGATAAAGATTTTCGTTACTTTATTCTTTATTATAAAGTAAAATAAAGATAAAGTAACACTTCTAGTGTCGATATTGTGTTCTTTGCTTATATACGTCTACACCCACACCCTCAAGATGGATAAGGCCTGCTGTAATTCAGACACAAAAACTTTAGAAAATTACATGTATTGTTTTATTCAAAACGTTTTACAACTAGAAAATAATATATATGCATTTGTAATGAGTCTATCTTGTATATAAAATAGTGTGTTCTTGATTTTGCAAATAATGAGTGGAAGTATTCACATAAACTGGTGTGCAACGGCATCAGCAATTTTCATCTTATCTGGTTGATCTGATTTGCATACGACTAAACTTGTACTTCTCCCATCTGAACAAGAACCGCTCACATCCCATTTTGCTCGACCACTTTTTCTGATAACATCTTTAATTGTTACAGTTACCGTTTTTCCATTTCCAATATCAGCCGTATATTTTTCCTCGCCAAGCGTTGAGTTCTTTTGAAAAACCCAATTTTTTATATGTCTGTCAGTACCAGGAACTACAATATTTGCATCGAACAACGTCTGTGCAGCTGCAGATACCCAATTAAATGCCATATTAATACTGAGTAGAAATCTACTAATTCAGAATAACTTACAAACACTTCTTATCTTTTCAAAATATTACCTTCAGTTGAAATAACCTCTGCTGATCTACGTATATATATATAGTTATCTTACGTTAGGAAGTGCGTTTTGTTGGTTTTTTCTTTTGTTATAGTTGGTAAAAGAAAAAATGATAAGAATTTATCGCGCTTGACTCATAAATCTGAAGTGTGTGGGCACTTATATCAACAAACCACACGCCTTCAGTCTCACCCTCAAAATTTGAATATGACTATTGTATTGAAGTTAAACAAAAGATGTCGAATATTATATCAGAAATTGAATAATCAAACTATTTAATTTGTTTTTTATTCAAAAAATAAATTATAGATATAAAATCAATATACAATAGTTTTAAACAAAGTTAATAACATTTGTTTTTCATTATGCAGTATTTTGTCGTGAGGGTGGTCCAATAATAACACCCGATTCAACAGCATTCTTTTTAGGATTTTTGTGTTTTGTCCTTTTTTGTGCCAATTGAGAAATTGATGTGGCAGAATTTGTTTCATTCTCTAAGCTTATAGTCGGTTTCTTTGCTGTCGATATACGATTGACATGAACTAAATTTCGTAAACCATCATTAGTTTTAACTAATGGAGAACCAGTTGTACCAACTCGCGATGCACGAAGTTCATTTGATTTTCTTGGTAATTTAGCAGATGATACACGTTGAACACTTACTTTATCATTTTTTATATCAGTAGATAAACGAAATGGCTCATCATTTGTTCCATTACTGTCTACAGAAGTAGATTTAACATCAGTTGATTGATCAGTCAATGGTTTTGGTATAACATTAGTTACGTGAGTAATCCTTACATTATCTGTACTTTTAGACTTAGGACGCATCTCTTCATCAGAATCAACTATCTTGTTTATTTGCGGATGTATGTTTGAGCTAAATAATCTTGGTTTTATTGCAGATTTAATTTGTGATTTTTTTGTATTTCCACTATTTATTGATTTGATAATAGGTAAATCATCTATTCCACCGTTTACCATATGAGATGGTGATTTGATTCCTGGATTAGCTAAAGCAGATTTTCGATCACTAAGTTTGACTTTTTTAATAGATACAGCAGACACTGATGTAGGTCGATTATGCTCTTCAAGCATTGGAGAAAAACTATTAGTTGAAAGTTCAAACATATCCGTTTCATCAGCATCTTCAATCAAACAGTCTGGTGTGTTATTGAATGAACATAATAACATTGTTGGGGACATAGGGCTACTACAGTTGCTTTCATCTGATATTTGATAAATAGAATAGTGTTTTGGAGGAGACGTAATAATATTAGATGATATCGATAGATTTGCCCAAGGACAATCTGGATCCATACATCGTTCAATATGATACAGTTCAATATCACCTTCTTTTTTCAAACCGTATAATCTATCACCAAGTAAACTAAAAGAAGAAATAATAATATAGAGAACAATAATTTTTGATTTCAAAACAAACGAACCAACAACAACGACAACAAAAGTAAGTGGCTAACGCTAAAGCAGCAAGAACAAGTAAACCAATAATACTTCCAATTACTGGCCAATCAATAGGTGCAGCTAAAATAAAAATATATTTTGTTGTTTTATTAATCAATTATTTTATATACGAACGTGTTGTAGTAGTAGTTGTTGTTGTAGTACTAGTTGTTGATGTAGATGTAGTACTAATAAAATATATATGAATTAATATTAATTATCAAAATAATAACAAGAATTCTTACCTAGTACTTGTCGTTGATGTTGTTGACGTTGTTGATGTTGTCGAACTAAAAGAAATAAGAATTGATTTTTCAATAAGGACAATATAATTTAAAACTTACGTCGTTGACGTAGTACTCGTTGTTGACCTATAATGTTAAAATAATTTTTTTTTATTAAACATATAAAAAAACGTACGTAGTTGATGTACTAGTGGATGATGTAGAAGTACTAGAATTACAAGTTTTTCTTATATAATGTAAGAAATTTTATGAATAGTCTTATCTTACCTACTAGTAGATGTTGATGTCCTAGAAAAAAATAGATATATATATAAGATAAATCAAAATATAAAAGAAATGAAATAGTAACATACGTCGTTGTCGTTGTTGTAATACATATATCACCAGGACATGAACATACATATGTAGTTGCTACATAAAATTTAAAACAATATTGAGCTGATTGTGAGCTTGCACTAGAGAAAAAAAGAGAACAAATTTGTTTTTTGTTATATTTATTATGATTGAAAACCTGTCAATTGCCATTGCACACATAACTTGATATCCAAGTTGAGCACTAGTTGGTGTCCAGGTTAAATTCTTGTAATAAACTGTCGAATTGAGTTTACCAAGATCACTTTTGATCATACCAGCAAACGAAAGTGTAGCAATATCAAGAATAGTGACAGATGGAGCACAATTATCTATAGCAAATATTTGTGAAGTGTATGGTTGATTAACAATTACAGTTGTACAAGATTCTTCAGTAGGTACACCAACAATGTCAGGTGGAGTTGTACACGTCGGTGCAGCAACTACTTGAACCAGAAACTGAACAGGTACTGAACTAAGTGGAGTTGTACTTGTTGGAGTAATAAAATCTTCTACCTATGTATATATAATAAACTAGTTCCACCATAGAAACAAATCTTATGAAACTAACCATGAGTGTAATAGCAAACCAATCTCCTACATGAGTACCTGTAATGATGATCGTACAGTTAGGATAAATGACTGTACCTGCTGGAAGTGAACCTGGTGGACACACATCTCCACATTCGTCAATTCCATTAGTATTTTTTGACCATCGACAACGAAGAGTGTCTCCATCAGCGTCAGCCACAGGAACGTTGATTACTGTTGGTTGATTGACAGGAATATTAATTGGAGACATCATAGTAGCTACAGGTGCATTATTATAGAGACCATTATCAGGTCTCACCATTGTATTAATAGTTGTCGAGATTGACCAAGCCGCACTTGAAGCTGTAGTTAATGAACGCCAAGCAGAACTTTGAAAAGCTACAGTAAAATTATCATTTGCATTTAAATAAACTGTATCGACACGTTGTCCAATAGAAGTATCAGCAACATTCGAAAAATCAGTGCAACGAGGAAGAACACCGATAGGAGAATATCCAGCAGAACCAGTACCACAATTGCTTATACAAGCAAGTGTAGCGGAAGAAACTCCTGCATATGATGGAATCTCACCGTTCGTAGCAATTAAAGTATTACTGCATGACATATCAGTATAAGTCCACGAATAAGTTTGAGTAATAACGATAGCTATAGGTGATCCAGTAGCTGATGCATTTAATGGGCGCCATGTAATAGTACCACCGAGAAAATGCACACCATTCACATTCGAAATTAATACAAGGCAGATGCAAAGAAATAACATTTCTTTCGTAAGTAAAAAAATAAAGAATGATAGGGAACAACTATAAATTCAGGTATTACATATGCACAGTAAGCACTTTTATGAAATTGAAAAACAGGGTGAAACAAAAAAGGACATTTTCTTTTTTAATTATTTATTTTATGAGTACGAAAGTTTGTATTTTTCGCTTGTATTGAACTAATAAATCATGGAACGAACTTTCAGTCCTGTGAAGCTTTACGAATTTGTATGATTTTATGATACCATATATAAGAATGGATAAAGTACAGAGCTAATTAAAAAAGACAAGTTCGATGGTCAACAGAAACATATTGCGTACCCAGAAATACATTAATAATATTAGTATTAAATTTGATTATATTTTATACCGATCTATGGATATTTTACCATTCTATGTGTAATCAACATATGTATTCTTATTAATTATGTACTTTTCAATTATTTTCTTCCATACATGCTTGACAATACTCAGTTTGTAGTGTTTCTTTTACCTATATTACGTCGTTACAATACTTTTCTAATTTATTTTCTTCGATATTTCTTTCTTTCTCACTTTTATTCAATGTGAATCAAAAAAATCTATATACTGACATTTTTGGCGATATATTTGTTCAATACTCATCTTGTCCACCAAAATAGTATACGTTTAAATGTTTCGCATCATCATCATCAATTTATATTAGTGCGTACACTCATTTTTCTTGATATACTCCTTTCCTTTAACTATTTTTTCTACACTATTTTTACGTATTTATTTTCATTATGTTCCACCAGAAACTTGTCGAACTATTGGCATATTGAATATTATATTTTCTAATGATTTTCAATAAATTCTGATTAAACGAAACCTATTCAAAATTATTTTTGATTTAATTTGAAACAAATTCAATAAAATTTTTCGTTATCGAAAATTGAAAAGAAAAAAATTCGTTTCTTTGTTTAGTTTTTTTTATCAAAATTGAAAGTGAAATTGATTGTTTTAGAAAAATTCTCTTCGAGACAATTATTTCAGAAAATAAAAACAAAAGTGTCAAAAAAGATAAAAGGAAATATTTGAATATTTTATTTAAAGATCAAAAAAAAATAATTTGTAACAAAAAGAATAACTCGAGCGTATGGGTGTGAGTATCTTGTGTTCATTGACACCCTCACCCACCCTCAAGATGGTTTTTAGTTAACAGTACACTTCGTCTTTCTAATACATGTGGACATGTTAAAATGTGCTCATCAAAATTTTCATGTGCTTAGAATTATTCGAAAATGAAAAAGAAAAGAAAAGAAAAAAATAACAACATTGAAGCATATAATCGATAGCGTCGATGTAAATGCATTAACTACTGAAATATGATTCATACACGATGCTACGAAACGTTGACAGTTATAAATAATATTAAATACAATTCATTCTGTATGATGGAGTCAGTCCACGTCTCTTTCACTTTTCTTCCTTTTCTTTAACCCTTTAAGTACCATAGCTCAGCCAATGGATGAAACTTTGTTAGGACTTTATTTCTAACATGTATATTGTATGTTGTGAATATTTCCATCGAAACTTTTTAAAAAATTTTCGAAGTCATTTTTGATCAATACCCGTACCCCCTACGGTACGCTGGTACTTAAAGGATTATTAAAATGATAAATACCGCGCGAATACAAGCACCTACATGCCCTCTATGCCACAATGACAAGTTCACTTCGATATTGTTTCGCATTCGTAATTTATTCAGAATATGTCAAATTCTAAAAGAGTGGGGCTTATAGGCCCCGTTGGTACTTAAAGGGTTAATGCTTTGTTGAAAAAATTAAAAGATTTGAAATAAAACTATGAAAACCCAGTGGTCTTGTTCATCATTATTCTTGCGTATTCGTAATCAACATCTGAAAGAAGCTCGATATACGCATTGAGCATCTATCCGAAAGATATTTGGTAGTTTGTGGTTACCATTTGTTGGACTATTGTTTTTCCAATCCCCTAGTCACTTATATAATGCATGGAAGGATCTCTTTCCCATGAATCTGGAAGAATTTCGCGCGTATATTGACACTAGATTATTTTTTTCATTCACTTCTGCTTCCACATGAGCACGTTCAAATTGAACTGGGTGAAAATGCAATCGATGAAAGTATGAAAAACACAGCGCGAGTACTTCATGGACATCATTCAGATGGAAAACTGTTAAATATTTTCAATCGTATTATAGAACCAACTATTGACACGGAGGACATAGTTGTGTTTGTTAAATTTGCTGCAAATGATCCATTTTATTGGCAAATACGTTATCCATATAATTTTCAATCGTTCAGCATTCGTACATTACAATGCATTGTCAAACAAGTTATCAATTCTTCAACAGAATATATGCATAGGTCTGACAAATCAACATAGATTAATCAGGTTGAACAAATGTATAATGAAAATTCAGAGGTATTCAATAAAAAGGGAATTAAAAAATGCGGTATCATAATTGGATATCGTTATCGACCCTCATATGAATATGTCTTTACCGCATATTCACATAAATACCAGCATTTTAGCAGCAGGTGTTCAAACATTTTATGCTTCGTACGATTACACGTGTTATGTAGCGTATATTGTTATTGGTACATTCACATGTTTCTTATTCGAAAGTATGATAGAATTCATTCCATTGATCAGCCAATTGATTTATCCACCACCTCCAACTATGGATTTTTCTATTCAACAACAAATGAAACAATCAAATATAGCCTCTTTAGAAAACTTAGACGCTCTTTTGTTCGAAACAAGTTACAGGAATACGTATTATGAGCGATTATTTATCGTGAATGATAAATATCTGATCATGTTAATGATAGATTTAGAAGAAAAAAATGAAAAAATTCTTTGACAATTTTATGAACATCCACCGTTGATTATTCATCCTATTGATAGTATACGTAATGTGAGTTCTGATTGTATTATGCTTAATACTTATGATAGGCTATGGATTAATTTTCCTGTATGTCCAAATAGTAGTCGTTTCCAACCAGCGAATTAGCTACACGAACAATTGATGATTCTTAACGATCGATGTAGATATGAGTACAGCAAAACCTCTCTATTATGAATACTCGTGGGACTGTCCAAAAATCGTTCAGAAAGCGGGGTGTTCGTATCAGACGGGTGTTATACGAAGGACACTCTGTTTAAATTAAATAACATATTTTAATCTTTTACTATTAATCAACGGATTTTTATCCATTTAGTTGTATGATTCATATACAATATGAGAAAAAAATGTTTTTAGTACGTGAATCAAGTGCGTATCCAAAATACTCTAAGATCGATCTTTGTTTTAATGAACTGAAATCGAGATAAACATTAATTAGTTTTGATTGTTAATATCTTGATTAGATTCATTTTTGAACCATCTTGACGGCATGAATGTGAGTGAGAGTGAGGATTCTTTCCTTGTTACATCTGCACCAATACCCACACCCACACCCATACTCACACCCACACCCACACCCATCCCCTCTGGTGTATGGGTGTGAGTAGTCAAAGAGAAGACATCTACACTCACTCGCACCCACACCCTCATGTTTCGAGACTTTTTCGTGACTACGAAATCGTTTTTGGGGGTTTAGTAGAGCACCAACGTTTTTTTAGAGTGCACACGTTGACGTTCGTTTTGGTATTATTATGGATCCTGAGTCAGGATTCCTGACTCTTGCAATTTTAAAGTCTGATGCAAAGTTGCGAAAATCAACACGAAATCATGTAAAATAATGTCTTTGAAAATAAAAAGGCGAATTGATATCACATGTTTGGTACAAGGGCCAACGCCATATTTATGTCTAATTCTTCTGCATATCTGCGTTGAAGACGAACCAGATGAAGTTTCTTTGCAATATAACTATGAGCGTTACCAATTTGTTGTGTTCTGTTGAATTGCCGTGCACGTCGACCACAGTACTCAATGTTTAGACTATTCGCTTGTGCACAGGCTTCTCGAAGCTTCCATACGTTATTGTCTGTAATTGAGCAGCACCATCTGAGTTTTGGAGAATAAATATCTGGCCAAACACAATCATACTGTTGACCGTCAGTGAAGATTAAGTAATACAATTGGACAGCTTGATTACTATGCAGGTTGGTCTCCACAAAGGCTTTGACCTCATCTGAATTTAATTGTGGTAGTATCGCTGTAGTCACAAATATTGCATTAGGCATCTGTATTCGACGTAAGTAATCTATCTCAACATTTTTAACTTCGATGACTGGTTCAAACGGATACAAATCTTCTGCTGGATTTCTAATATTCGTCCTGGGGTCGTAGATGACTCCAATGGGCTCAGCATCAAACAAATTTGTCGGGCAAGAATTGCCCAGTTGAATATCTTCCTGGGTGGCCTGTGAAATACATAGACTGATGTGTCGTAAAAGGTGATAAATATTATTTTCCGATGGAGTCTGTAACTTGAATATAGTAGAAATACAGTCAAGTTTTCGTTTTGTTTGGAAGCATATAGTAGCTATACTCAGATCATTTTCACAATGTGATATTATGTTCCTTAATATTTCATATGGTCAATGTCATCAACTCGTTCTACATATATTGCTCTAAAATTACATCAACACCGACGTAACCTGCACTAGACTATATCACAAACATTTTGTAAATATCATGCCGAAAGAATTAATCAAATATTTTATTATAATGGCTAACAGGTGCTAAAGAATTCTCCATATAACTTACCATAAAAAAAGCGAATTCACTACGACTTTGGAAAAACCGTCGGATTCTGCTGTAAAAGGCTGAATAATGTGAAATACAATCTGAAACAACAAAATAAATTACAAAAACTAATATAGATCAATCAAGGAGTTTTGGTATTTCATTTGAAGTGTAGCATTTGCGATGAAATTTATAGTATTGATATTCAGTAATACTACAAGTTTAGTTATAGTAGCAATACTAAGAACAACCGGTGGGTTTTCTCATATATTCTGTGGCGCAAAAGTCATGATCCCAAAGAAT